CTATTATTCCCAGCTCTAGCATATCCTGGATTTCTTTTAACAGGGACCCGTCTCCCGTATAGTAATTAAAATGGGGAGAATCCGGTGGACTCCTGAGATACTTTCCGATATGCAAAGAGCAGGTGGGGGAGGAACTTTTCCCAATTCCGACAGGTCTCTGTGAACGTGATCAGCATTTGTTTCAGGGTGCCATTAAAATGATCACAGAGGCCGTTCGGCTGGGGGTGATAGGGCGAACTTAGTATGGGCTTTACCTCACTGCTCTGAATTGAGTTCCCTGATCAGACATTATCTCCCTAGGGAATCCAACCCTAGTGAACACCTGAACCAGCTCTTCTGCCACTGTCTCTGCATGTATATTTGACAGGGCTATTGCTTCTGGGTAGCGGGTAGCATAGTCCAACAGTAAGAATGTATTTCTTACCAGATGGACTGGGTTTGCTTAGGGGCACGACTAAATCTATGGCCACCCGGAAAAAAAGGTTCCTCTATGATGGGTAGAGGGCGCAGTTTTGCTTGGGGATGGTTTCCCCCCCCCCTTTCCACCTCCTGCACACTCTCCTATCTACTAAACAGCAACTTCAATGTTGACAGATTTTATTAGCTTTTTTAAAAGTTTTTTCTAAAGGTTTTTTTTTTTTAAAACACCTAATCTAGGCAAAAAACAATGGGGATTTAGTTACATTATATGATTATACATTGCCTAATCCTGCAATGTATGATCATATAATGTAACTAAAAAAACAAAACCTTTACACAAAACTTTTAAAAAAACGAATAAAATCTGTCAACATTGAAGTTGCTGTTTAGTATATAGGAGAGTACGCTGGATTTTGTTTATTGTATAATATGGCCCCCAGCAGCACCCCATTTAAGCATGTTCAGGTGAGTTCAACCACCCCCCATGTTTCATTTGGGAGTCTAGCCAACTCCTTGGTTTTGCACCCCTCCCTGTTACAGGTGCCTCATCTCAGGTTTCTATTTAGCCTTGTAGTGCAGAAAGCCTTAGATGGAATTTTTTCCCCAAGTAAGTGAGTTATTCACATAAGAGTAGCCAAAAATGTTGTACATTGACATTGTGGCAGGGTAATGCAATGTATAATCATATAATGTAACTAAATTCCCATTATTTGTTGCCTAGATTAGGGGTTTAAAAAAAACTTTTTTAGAAAAAAGTTGCTATTTAGTAGATAGGAGAGTGCGCTGGAATACCTATGTTATAGTGTCATTTAAGATGGCGTTTGGTCTTTGTCCAGGGAGATAATTGAATTACTTCAAAATTATCTCCCGGGCAGAACAGAGGGTCTTGGGTAATTAAAGTGGCATGGTGTAACACTCTGATTGGTCAGTGTAATGTCCTTGTCACAGTCTACCATTTAGTCCCCTAGGGGAGTGTCCACCAGGTGGGAGACCTACATAAATACCGGGCAGGTAGCCCTCAATAAACCAGATTCCTGCTGACCCTCAATATGGAGCTTTGTCTCGTCATTGGGGGGATTATTCGTATGGATTACGCTTGTTCGGCTGTTTGGGAGACTAACTGGTTCGTGTGATTGCTGTTCGGCAGTTTGGAGCGCTCAATGGCTACCTCTGTATTCGGGAAGGAAACTTCCTATATGGCAGTAACCCCTCTCCTACCGGGGGAGCTGTAACAATTGGTGGCAAGCAGCGGGATGTTCCTTACAGTTCAGGAGGTCAGCTAAAGGGACATTATTGCAGAACTGCTGGAAACGGATAACAGCAAGAGGCTCAGCACTACAGACAGGGTACCCGAGGAGGCAAGATTTGACCAGGCGGTCCGCATAAGGCTGGCACATTTTGGCCCCAACCCCTCAGCAGATATCATTGAATGGGTCAAAGCAGCTGTGGAGACAAACCAGCGACACCTTCAGCAAAGAGGTACTGCAGCAGCTGAAATACCCACTGCACCAGAAAAGAAAAAGATACCTTTTGCTGCTTTTAAAAATTTAATTGAAACAGAGTGGGAGATAGATGGGTACCTGGCGGATTTTGAAAGGCAGTGTGCCCTGCACCGGGTACCCACAGATGAATGGGTCGCTATCTTGTCTGGGAAGTTATCGGGTCGGGCCAGTGAAACATTTCGGGCCATACCAGACGACAACCTTACAAATTATGGGTTGCCCTACTAGCCAGATACGCAGTCACACCGGAGGCGTATCGCAGGAGGTTCCTGGAAGCCAACA